ATTTCCTTAAATTTGAAACCATATTAACGGCTCTTTTATTTTTTAAAATATTTCTACATTCCATTATCCTTGTATCTACAAACAAAAGGTATGGACTTTTTACAAAGCTATCGAATGGTAGAAAATACACTTTCAAAACTTGAAGCTAACTTTAGAGAATTTAATAACTTATTTGAAGAAACACAAAAGTACGTTGCAAAAGCAAACGAGTGCTTCGTAGAAAAAAACATTGACCTAAAATCGGAAGAAATGTTTCCCCAGATAAGGCAAAGGAAACAAAAAAAATTTGCCGATGAAATTTCAAGTGGCGTTACTTTTACACCAGAAGAAAAATATCGTATTGAAGTATACAATGTTACGTACGATACAGCGATCGAATGCATTAAATCAAGATTCGTAAATCACAAAAAACTATATATGGATTTTCAATGCTTACATCCATCGGAGTTTGCAAATATCAAAAACATGCCAGATTCTGCATTGGAAGCAATATGTTACAAAATGAAACTATTTTTCCCGATATTAACCAAGCTGTATTGAGGCAAGAATTAGAAGATTTTTCTGGAAAATGGCCACAATTATCAAAATCTCTCGTTGAAGAATTTTGGGAAACTTTACCTAGTCATCACTGCGATAAAGAGGGAGACTGTGATTTCACAGAAACTTCATGTAAATCCTGCAGAAATTGCATTTTATGTTGCTATAATGTTTTATATAAATATAACTTATATGCAAATGCATATGCTCAGCTTTCTAAAGTATATACATAAATACATTCTTACGCTATCAATAAGTCAGGTGACATGTGAGAGGTCATTTTCGAAATTAAAGTAGGTACATCCTCAATCGATTACGAAGTAACTTGTCCCAAAACAATGTCGAGGCCTTTATGCTAATGTCTCTAGAAAGGGATATATTAATGTCACTTAGTAATGACGACATCATAAATGATTTAGCTGCAACTAGTAAAAATTTGTCTGCCCTGCTTATGTAAAAGAGAATAGGTACCTTTTTTTTTAAGATTTCCATTTTATTTATATTTTTCTTCTGTGTGATGAAAATGTGATTTTTAATATTGAGTACTTTTAGCTTTGTTATACATTTTGATACTGAAACCTTAATTTATTTGTTTATGTTCAATTCGTAGAATAAAATATTTTTTCTTTAATGTTGTTTTCCTCATCGGCCGGCGCCTTTTCCTTCAAATAGCCCGCCACATTTTCCAGGCCCAGTCCGTCCCTGGCGATCGTAGTTTAGAATATAAATTTTTGATAAAAAATATTTTTATATTTTGTTGTTGTTTTGGAATGTCTGATGAAGTAGATACTTTATTTATAGATCCGATTTATTTTCAATTAAACGGTGGGTGGAACCGGAACCGCGGGAAACAGCTATGTATTGTATAGTGTACAGTAGATCATGTGCAGCATCGTACACGTGTTGAGAAGTGAAGTTTTTTGGAAACTATTTCCCCTCATACAACTTTATCAGTTTCTCTACGTTATATCTTATTTCTTCTTTCTTGTGTAACGAAATGAACCTAAACGTGACACGAATATCAGCCTATGCTCTTATTCTTATAGGTAGGTAGCTACTGACCTCACTTGGGTAAAGTTATTTAAAATTATTTTTTTAAGTGAAACTTCTCAGGCGACGGTCTGATATTTGGACGACAAAGGAGATGAGTAAATTGAAAGACGCGTCACGTTTTGGCAAATTTCGTTACACGAGATAGAAGAATGATATACAGGCCTATGATGTATCATTTTCCGTTATTTTAACAGCAACGTTAAGTTATCTGTTCACTGTTCATTCTACACGTAAATATAGAGACAGGTATAGATTTTGAGCTATAACACAACTATTGAAATAACAGGAGAAGATACATCATAGGCCAAGGCCTGATAGCGTAAAGAGAGACGGAGAAAGACAGACATTAATTGTCCGCCCCCCTTGTGACGTTTCTACAGATACGCGTCTCGCTTTTGTGTGGTAGTTCGTCTGTCTGATAGTTGTATGAGAGGAGCGGGGGATAGTCAGAGCTGGGAGTAACGACAAAAAATAGTTACTTTTAGTGATGTAAAATGCTCGAGCAAGTATTTTAGGAGAACGTTCTCCGAGCAGGATCGAGAATTAACGAGAATAAACGAGCAAAAACGAGCAGGACCCGAGAATTTATGCTTTTTATCAGACGCTGAAAAGAACAAAACATTTTTCTAAATAAATTCTGATTTTTCTCAAATTTCCCGAAATTTCCAAAGAACCCCGCACACCTCTTATGGGTTTTTGGTTTTCTGTCAAACTCAATGAAATTTTGATATGTGGTATATCTTGACTTACTGATAAAAAGTTCTCATGGGCCCAACCCGATACTATGAATAGTTTCCGAAATACAGGTGGTTTAATATCCAAGAAATGTACACATTTTATATGCGTTCACATCTACCTGTCACCTATCAATAGGTCTTTCAGAGTGAATTTCATTGGTTGAAACTAATTTTCTGACTGTTTCTGACTGTTTTCGACCAATCAAATTCGCTCTGACGGGTTTGTGATTTTTGCAGAAACAGACCTATTATTAGGTGACTGGTAGATGTGAACACATAAAATGTGTACATTTTTTGGACATTAAAGTACCTGTATCTCAAAAACTAATCATAGGATTGGTTCGGGCCCATGAGAACTTTTTATCAGGAAGTCAAAGTCTAACACATATCAAAATTTCATTGAGTTTGACAGAAAACCAAAAACCCATAAGAGGTGTGCGGGGAAGTTCTGAATATTCTGAAAATTCTTCATAAATGTGCTGAAAATTCTCAAACTTCTTGGGAAAATATAATACATATATCCTATTCACAATCTGTAGTCCAAAGGTACAGGTAAATTTATCACCTTTCCCTATCAAATAGCATTGAAAGGTGATAAATTTTACCTGTACCTTTGGACTACAGATTGTGAATAGATAATAATTAATCTCATAATCTGTGAATTGTGTCTTGTGTCATGTTTGACAACAATAATTATTCTAATTTGGGTTTTTTTCTAGTAGAACGCTACCTTTGCTTACAAAAAAAATAACTATTGCTGCTAAGTTGCTCCCTGGTTCTCGGGCTCAATATTTGATATATCTCCGCCTTCAACAGCTTCCATAAATATATCTCTACTCTATGGCGTCATGTGATTTTATTGGTGAGGATCGTGCTTGAGAACGTGCTAAATATTCTCTATCGCGCTCAATGTGCTCCGAAGGTAATATTCAGCACGAACCTTTTTTTCGTGCGCGAACGTTCGCAAATGTTCTCGAAAGCACAATCAGAACGTTCCCTTGTTCACATCACTAGTTACTTTACTTTAACGAGTTACTGAAAGTAACACGTAACTTGGTTACTTCGTTACTTTTCAGATTGATTGATAAGTAACTGTAACGACGTTACTTTCCTGAAGTAACTGCAGATCGTTATTTTGTTAAAGTAACGAGTTACTATGAAAGTAGCGCGTTACTATGAAAATAACGCGTTTATATGGAAGTAACGCGTTATTAGTTACTATGAAAGTAACGCGTTCTCTCAATTTGTTCATCTTCTTTACAAATAATTGACGATTGAGGAAAAGGAAAATAAGTAATCCAAAAACTTTGTATGTCAAATAAAATGTGGGTATGTAGTACAGAAAATTTGTTTTGAAAGCTCAAAATAATCGTTTTTGGGCGTGGCACGCGCCGCCTCTGCTCTAAAGACACTATATGCAGACACTGGGACGCTTCTAAAAGCAGGTTTGTCCAAAACCAAGTTCTCTATTTAGCCGCTTAATCCTTAATCCGTTTGAATTTTGCAACAAAACTCTTCCACATAGTCGGACTCACAAACTAAAAACATATTGGCATAGGTCTTATTTGATTGTTTGGATGCTGTGTTGGTGAGTCAAATTAAGGAATAACGCAATTTTCGACGTAAATAGTTATTTTTGAAGTAACGCGTTACTTTAAAAGTAACGCTTTATTGAAAAGTAGCGCTTTATTTCAAACTAACGCGTTGAGGTAACGGGTTACTTTCAAATAACGAGTTACTTTTAAGTAACGAACTAGGTACTTCTAAATTAGAGAAGTTACTTTCAGAGTAAAGAAGTTACAGTACTTAACGTGTTACTTTCCAATAAGTAACGAAAATAAAGTTATCATTATTCGAAAGTAACTGTAAATTTTAAGTAACAAGTCATTTTTAAGCAAAAGTAACTGTAAAGTAACGCGTTACTTTTTTCAAGTAACGATACCAGCTCTGGGGATAGTTCTTCTTTTTCTTAGGCGGCGGTCTGATATTTGGACGACAATAATGGAGAGTTATTTGTAAAACGCGTTACACGAGGGAGAAGAAAGAAATAACGTAGAGTCGTAGAGAGACGGAGGGAGTAAGACAGCCAATGGCAATAACAAGCGACGAACTATTGACACAAACCAAAGATTATAAGCAAAGAGGATTGCCTAATACTGTTTAGCACCGATACTCTTGTGTCGTCACTACAGATGCGCGTCTTCCTTTTGAGAAGGTTTACTTCTACCACGTCGCTGCACATGATTTTTTAAAGTGAACACTTCTTTGGCCGCATGAGAGTGATTTTTCCATGTCGCGTCACGACACGATTTACAAAATTTTCGTCTCGCAAGTGAGATGAAGCATATGATGAATATGAGGGAGAGAGAGAGAAAGAGAAGAAGTATTCACTTCTATCACGTGTAGGTACTGTGCTGCATGCGACTTTTTGTTTTCAATGAAATTTACTAAAAATTGTTATTTATGGTCATTATTGTGCTGAGCTCAAGGTTTACAACAATTGAGTCACCAACCACAAGCACAAATGGTGCGTGAGGCTTCACATGGTGCTAATTAAGCCCGTGGTACATAAATAACTATTTCAGGTCTGGGTACATAATAGATCACTACTGTGCCAACTGTTGACGACAATAAAATTCAAATTATAGACCGCTTGAAGATACAAAAACTTACATGTGTATTTAAAAGGACTCGTTTACTTCCTGCTACTCTGACCACTAATCTGCATTTATATTGAAGCAAATCATCCAATGGATATTCGTTTAATCTTAAATCTCCTCTTCCACGCTGTTGCCAATCCTTATTCTCAAATGCAAATAAAGTACATTGCATACTTAAAATATTTCGTTCTTCTTCTTCTCCAGTTTTCACTTCCACTAAGTCGTATTCTCTCTTATTTGCAGCCATTGCTTCCTCATATTCTCTGGCAGATTGAGCTAGAGATTTGCTTTCCTTACTCGTTGATGCCGTCTCAAAAATGCCTTCTGTCATAATTTTTTCTTGTACATTTTCACCAAAAACCACTTTCGAATCTTCTTTGTTTTCAATAACTCGCATTTTAAAGGGCGGAATATCATCTGATACTTCTTTCACTACTGTCTCGTTTAAATTTTGTCCAAATACGAATTTTGACGTTCTAGAGTTTGTATTATATTTACTCGTTCCAGCTTCAGAACTACGTCCTGCCATGACATTATTTTGTAAATCTTGTGCAAAACCAAAGGTACTAGTATTTGTTAATGGTATAAAGTTCACATCTGGTCTCGAAGTTTTGATGGCAAATGTTGCGTTAGAAGTTTGCAGAGTTACTGCTTCCTTTTCGGATTCCAAAGGTATAAAAGGGTTGAGTCTCTTTCTCCAAGTATTATCATCTTTACTATTATCATCAGTAGTGCTCTTATTGAATGGATTGAATCCGCTTGGCCGAAGAACAAATTTAGGTGGAGGGTTCTGAAACTTTGGGCCTCCTAGAATTTTTCCAGAATTATCTAAAAAAAAAATCATTTCAGCAAACAACAAATCTATTAGTAGATACTAATAAAAGAACGGTAGTTAGTCATCAACTATAAACGCACAGGCTAAACTATTAAAAACTTGACCTTTAGTTATGAAACTTGGAGGACGTATTGGGTTTATGACGTAGGCTCTCGCTAAGAAAGGATTTTTGAAAATTTCACCCTCAAGGGGGTTAAAATAGGGGTTGAAATATTAAACAGGATTTCTGTATCTCGAAAACAAGAAGCTGGAAAGATCTGAAAATTGGCATATAGATTCTACCAAAAAAATAAGTGAACAAGTATTTCAGAGTTTTTTGAAATTTTAACTCGGGGCGGAGAAATAGGGGTAATTTAATTTTGAAAGCGGGTAAAGGGATTTTGTTTTATCTCGGAAACGGAAGGACCCAGACAGGGGCGGATACGGGCCTTTCGAAAGGGAGGGGGGGCAGGTTAAATTAAAGGGGGTGTGCGCCAAAAAAACAACTTCATCTAAAAAAAAAAGAGAAAAAAAATCTAAGAATAACAGTGAAAACCGCACCCCTTTATGATAAATAATACCAAAGATATGGCTCTATGAAGGTGCCGCATCTCACCATATGACGTCAGGAAAGCTCAAGCGACGTACGAGAAAGTGAAGTAAATTGAATTTACATATGTTTTGCCTGTATCACCTGCAATAATCTAAACAAAAACCACCCACGCGTGCCGGGAACAATCAAATTAACAATGCGGAGCGCGGCTGGGCGAAGCTCTCGTGACGTCACAGACACTTTAAAGCGGTATATCTCAGCGATGGTTTGTCGTAGAACGAGGTTTGAACAGTTATTCTTAGATTTTTTTACACTAAAACTTTAATTTTTGGCGCACACCGCCTTTAAAGTAAACCAAATTAAGCCAGACTGGGTTAGTTTGGGTTAGTTTTGGCGGCGCATTGTGCAAGATACGGGTTTTCCAAGGAATGGCCCTTAAACATATGGGAATGGGGGAACTACCTACTTAGAAGAATAAGGAGATTTTAAATAGGTAGGTACCATCGTCACCAAAAGTCCTGGACTCCTGGACTATTCCAAGTTAACCTAGATAAACCTAAAATTATTCTCAGTTTGAGAAATACCTGACATCTAAAATCATATAATAGTGCAGGAGCTAATATGATGCTCTCCCAATTACTTTTGGTACGATGGTACATGATTAGATCTGTTTCTGCAGAAATCACAAACCAGTCGTCAGAGCGAATTTCATTGCTTGAAAACAGTCAGAAAGCTAGTTTCAACCAATGGAATTCAGTCTGACTGGTTTGTGATTTCTGCAGAAACAGACCTACTATTATTGATTTTCTATGAATATTTATTAGAACAAAAAAAAAACAATACATCAACTCAAGCGCTACTTAGGTAGTGACAATAGTGCTAACTGTTTGAGGTTAAAGTTCTTTGGACAAAAGTGTGATTTTTTATAGGTTTGGAGCTTTTTAAACATTTTTAAAAGTTAAAGTATGGTTTTGTTTCCTTTTTTTTTTTAAATTTTATTATTTTATTTTAAAAAGGGGGGGAGGCAGTTGCCCCCAGAATTTAAAAAAGTGTTTCGTATTTGTTTTTCTATTATCTCCCTTATCACCCCCCTATGTTCCCCCCAGTGGCGACGCCAGGGGGGCCAGAGGAGGCCGGGGCCCCCACTGAAATTTAGCCGGCCCCCCCTGAAAACTTGCTCTCATGTCGACAACAATGCAATGCAAAATCAGCAGCCTCTGCCGGTTAATTGGGTATTCAGTGCGCACAGGCAACCGCGATGCAGCTTCCGCTTTCCTGGGATTCCCCCAGACATATTAATGTCGGAAGGTATTTCCCATTTTCTATTCCAAAGAAGAAAAGCAATAGAGTAAAGACAAGTGCCCCCCCTAAGTTTTTCTGGCCCAGTCTGGCCCCCCCCTAACATAAAACCCTGGCGTCGCTACTGGTTCCCCCATCTTAATGAAAAAATTGTTCATCCGAAAATATAGGTTGTGTGGTATCAAATAGAAGGAAATAAAGCACGGAATCTGAAAAAGTGTTTGGTATTAGTTTTATAATTTTTTAGTACCCCCCTTCCCATTACATCGGATAAAAAAAATAAAAAACTAAAAAACTTTTAGAAAATGAACAAAAAAAAAAATGTATTATTTCAAAATGTATTTTCACGCCAGCAACGCAGTGGGTAGTTAGCTAGTATTTTATACAAACAAACCTTGTATGGAGGAAAGCCTCTTTGCTTTATCGTTGTCCTCGTCCATTTTGTGGGAGGGTTACTTCAGCAGCCGCTTTTGGAAGTAAAACGAAAATTTAATTTGAAACAATCAATTTTTTTGGAACGCAAATAGGTGTAAACCTGAATATTATGACCACGTTCACTTTACATGAGAAACTTGAGAAAGTCATCAGTCATCGGGGTAGAGGTTAGGAAAGTATAGTGGAGTGACACTGACAAGGCATGTGCAACTCACAATTTGCTCCGCTTGCCACTTCAGAAGGCAGAGGCGATGTCGACGAGGTGTTCTTCTGCCCGGCCAGTTAGATTTAGGGATGCGCAAAATTTTGAAAACATCGATGTTGACATCAAATGATACATCGAATATTCACAAGAAAATATCGATGTTTCTAAACATCGATGTTTTTGAAAATATGGCAAGAAAAAATTGAACTGTTAATAAATAGAATATCATTTTCACTTAACCTACTTAGGTATGTATTTTTAATATAATATACATACCTACACGTAATAAATATGCGATTTTTATGGCCATTTGCACCGACCATTTTAAGAGAGGTTTAACGATAATCAACGCTTAAAGTGACATTTTTACATGTACAAATGTCACTTTAAACGTTGATTATCGTTAAACCACCTCTAAAATGGTCGGTGCAAACGGTCATTAATGAAGCAAAAGTACATTTGAAAGCAAACAATAGCAAGAACTAAGCACTAGGGAGTAAATCTAGTTAGATACCTACTTGACTTATAAGTCATTATGAATACGAGTAACAATCATATTTGATCACAATTATTATCCAAGAACAGCAATTTTGACTATTTTGTTCCTTTTCCATATAATTCTTGTGTTGTGTCAAAATTTGTCCTGCATTTGAAAATAGTCTCCCATATGGAACAAGTATGGAACCGAAACTGCTACCTGCTACAACGCTCAAGTATTTTGAAGCTATCTTTGATAGTCGCAGACTCGGTCGCAGATATACACTCTTTATTTCTTGTTCTTCCCAATGTTCAACAAATAGATTTTCATCAAATTTTGCTAAGGGACTGAAAGTACTGGTGTAGTATTAAGAAGAAAACATCGAAAGAACATCGCAAAAAAAATATCGATGTTCTCTAAAAATATCGAATAAAAAAACATCGATATAAACATCGAACATCGAAATAGGAAAATAGATGTTTTTGAAACATCGATACATCGTGCGCATCCCTAGTTAGATTTATAATAGGTTCGTTCCAACCCCCCGTTTTCGTATCGTCATGAAACGGTTTCGGAACTGTTAGGATCGATTGCAGGCGCATGCGTTGACCTTGCACGGTTTTATCTTGGTACAGAAACAACGGGTAGTTGGAACGGTTTCATGATCGTTTTTGTAATGACGACAGTTCAAATAACTTTAACCCTAAATTTGTTTGTTTGCAAATTAAAATAGAAGAATATAGGATTAGGAATACAAAATAATATATAAAAAAGGAAAATCGAACACCAACGCTGATTCATTATCAAGAATCTGAAACTGAATCCTTGCAAGGTGATAATATCAAGGATTAGCAAATAGCTGATAATAAATTTTGTACTTTTTTTCACTTGAAAAAATAAAAATGCTACAGTTTTATAAGTTAGATTGGAAATTGGTTGTTTAACAACAACATGAACAAGAACAACAGGTGACAAAAATTGAATTACGCATGTCAGTCATGAATCAGTCCACGCGGTTCTTGCTTTCCACTCGGGATCGAAATGACGGTGCTAAAACCAGTTCTCGAACGATCCCAGGTTTGGTTGGAACGCCAACGAAACTGTACGGTAAACGATCATCTCTCGGTTGGAACGCCTTTAACCTATGGCGCATGACCGTGACCGTACATTGAACGGTTTTTGGCTGGGTTGGAACGAACCTAATACTGTGCTGTTTGGGTTTGGAAAAAGGACGGTTTCCAAAACGGTTTCAAACAATCGCACAGTTATCAATCAACAAAATGACAACGGCAATCGTCCTTTTTCCAAACCTGAACAGGCCACATAGGTAATGTCCTTGTTCATTTATTTTAAAAAGCTTCCAACAATAATTTTTTAAAAAAAGTCCGTGTAGCACAGTACACGATATGACGATAGAAGTGAATACTTCCTTACCGATTCCAAGAGAGAGGGCACCATAGAGGTCACAAATGCGTCATCAAGTATGACAGGCACAGTGGAGAACCTTCAATGGGAGAACCAGAGGAATTAGTTATCGACTGTCACTTTTGAAAAACTATAATCTTAAATTTAAAAAAAAAAAAAAAATTAATTCGGTTCGCGTTTCCGGCTTTTTTCCTCTCTTCTACATTTATTTCAAGTCTATTACTTAGGGATGTTGATATCGAAAAAAAATATCGATATATATATCATATCGATATTTAAAATTATTATTGCATCGAGCGTTTGATATAGCGTTGAAAAATATCGATATTTCGATATATCGACAAAAAAATTAAATGCAGAATTAAGGGTCGGTTTCTCAATAGCGAGTCACCTTCACAAGAGCTTGGTGGTAGCCCCGAAACAATTTATATGCGACGTTGCAATTTTTGGCATTTTCATGTTGGGACTGGAATCAGCGCCACGGCACGCCACCACAGTTTTTTATTATTATTATCCCCTGCCTTTTGAGTTGACACAGAATATAATATCATTTTATAATTTGATTGTACTGCATATGATTGAATAAATTGAAAATTGAATAAAATTGAAACTACAAATTTTGTATTTTGAAGGAGTATAAATAAATAAAATATTTTTTTCTACGAGCAAGCACTGCCTATTGGTTGGAGTGGAACTGGATAGTCGTTTGTTCTCGCACAGGGCGGAAAATTTTTTCATATCGAATTCGAAAAAAAAAATAGTTATTTTTTTAACAAGTGCGTGAAATACCATTTCTCGCAAATGTTAGGAGCACAATTTTTCCCAAGGGCCTGCGGAAAGATTACTCTGTAGTCTTTGTGCATGCCAAAAGTTTTTTTTCAGCACATTCGTAGGAAAAAAAACGGATCATCTTTGCTTCAGGTGTCCAGAAATTGGTAGAGATTATCCTGTTTTCAATCCCTAGTAGGACTGCTTATTGAGCTGAAAGCTGAAAGTGTCTGCCAACTGCCATGTCAACCGCAGATCTCAACTCTTGAAGTAAAATGCATTATTCAAGTTCAAAGCACTATAGTATAGTTATAGTTCGAAAAAAAGAATTCCGGTACATTAAAATCTTGTTTTAAATCACCTTTTCTACATTTAAAATCGTCGCAAAATTCAAATAACGAGCACAACCTGAATCGCAAGCGTTCCATCGAGGTCTGCGGGTGACGTCATCACTACTAGCTGCTGTGGTGGCGTCACTATCAGACCTTGTCTACTCCAGAAAGTGAACGTACGCCTTATTAAGCCGCCCCTTGTAGTTGGGGCCAGTGGTCTAGGGCCTGTTATTGCGACTTATTGGAATCTTTAAAAAAGTAGAATAGTGCAATTATAGGCGATTAGCTGCCTAAACCGGGCTTAAATCACTTACCTAGCTAACCCAGCTTATCAGCCACTGTAAAGTATATTATCAGCAACACCGATTCACGGATTCACAGGAAAAATATTTTGTCAAACTCCCAAACTAATCTGTTATATTGCTAATGCTAATTTAATGGCTTTGGTATACTGTATCACTTCTGCACATTGCAATTTGCACTGACCTTTGGGTGGCACAATTGCACACAGCCCGTTTGTTGGTGGATCGGAGGATCGGATAGGGTCGATCGGGATCGCCGCGCATTACCGTTTAAATTTAGTAGTTAATAACATAAAATTATAATAGGTAACGTAGCTTTCATAAAATACCAAATTATTAAAGTTTTTTCTGGGGGGGGGGGGGGGGGGGGGGCTAGCGACGTCTGGGGGGGGGGGGGGGCGGGCCCCCCCAGGCCCTCCTCGAGTTACGCCACTGCGCACCTGTTAGGAAAATCTAACCAAAACAAAATAAAATACTTTGACGTCAATTTGGCAACGCAGCACTCCTTGCCTTAACCTTTTTGAATTAGGCAATTCAAACCACGTGATATTCAAGATCGCGTGGCGGCCACATATGGGCCAAAAAACACAAAAAAATATCTAGTTTCTGCCCGAATTAATAGTTTAGGTACCTAGTTAACAAATATTTCATTAAATAATGAAAATCAAAGTTGTAAGCAAAACTATGCAAAATAATTTAAAATACGCATAAAAACATATTCAAAACAAACTTGCTTGGCCGCCACGCCACATTAAATTTTCCTTTTTGACAGATGGATTGAATTGCCTAATTGTTTTGGGGCTCCCACCAAGCTCTTGTTAGCGGTCGTAGTTTAGAATATACATTTATGATGGAAAATATTATTTAATTTTGATTAACATAATAGGCAAAGAGGAAGATACAAACGAGATCTAAAAAAGAGTTGTTTTAGAATGTTAATTAATGCAGTAAAACCAAGTATGGTATGCATAAAGCTGGGTAGGTACGCATATGAGCATGAACGCGAATGAGGCAATTCGAGGTTGAACCATTTGCCTCGGATTCGGGAAGAAATAAATTTTTGGGTGACCTGAATAGTGGACGCACGAGGCGTTGTACGGAATCGATCCATAAATATGTGTTGAGCATTCTTGTTGTTATTAATTTACATTTTTAATCGCTTTCATCTCAAAACAACACGTGGACTGCCTCGACCTCGAAATTATTTTTTTTTAAATTTCCATCCACACTGAACACACATGACCACACACAAGCAGATGCCTCACTTTGATGTACCGCCAACAGTTGGATCGGGTCGAGGCCAAATGCATGCGGGTTCAAACAAATTTGCACGCCTTGTTCAGACGACAGACGTACACATACGAATGCTCATGCATCCTCGGGCTGCCTCATTCGCGTTCTTGCTTATATGCGTACCCAGCTTAAAGCAAATGCCCGCGGAATCATAACCTGTGGTGCAAACACCCTACGTCAAGGCGAGAAACGAAACGACACGCTGTCACGTCATCACTGGTTCTTTGGCGTGGTGGGGGCTTGAGATTTGTACTACACAGGCCCTATGAAGATAAGCTAGCCTGTATGTAGTAGTGTGTATCATCCGTATCATCCTTGGTGAATACGGGCCTGGCGACCTCGAGTCAAGGCTAATACGCACTACTACTACAGGATAGTGATGTAAAGTTTCGATA